TTATTGGTTTTGGGAGGGTTTTTTTTTCTAATTTTATGCAAAGTGGAAAATTAAGCCAGCTATAATAATAAGAGAAACATAAAAATAAATCCTAAATTTCATTGATTAAGTTAACACTTTGATCAAAAAGGAGAAAATGGTCAAAATTATGTTACCAAATCCTATGATAAGTCAAAACTATACAGAAATATTTCCTGAGCAGATACTATTTCACAGAAAAGTAGTAAACACTGATAACAAATATACTCAGTTGAAATTATAGCATGTTTATCAACTGATGGAATCTATGAAATAGGTTAAATCTTATAATAGTACCAAAAGGCATTTCCCAGACAATACACACAAAACTTAGCCAGCAATGTGATGTGAAAGAAGCATTAAACAAATGTGCTGAAAATTGTTGTTTGAATCCTGTTTGCCCCTGGGATTGTCTTGATTTTTTTTTAATGAAGTAGATCAACTTTCCTAACCAATAATTTATTGAATTAAAAAAAAAAAACAATTTCTCCATTTATGCAATAGTATCATTGTTATCTGAATTCAATCAGATACAAAGAGGACATTATTATTGTTAATTTTTTTTAATTTCAGGTCTTATCTCACATATATTTTGCTTTGTTTTTAATACTTTTTCCATATACAGTCTCATTTGATTCTCACAACAACCTTTTCTGTTACAGTAGGCTCTATTATTATCCTCATTTTACTTATGAAGATTTTACATGTTATCCTGATTTTTACAAATTGAGTTTTGAAGCAGTCATGTAACTTTTTCAGGTTAACAAATCTAGTGTCATCAGTAGGATTCCAACATAGGTTCTTTTGACTCCCAAGCCCCAAAGACTTGTGAAAAACATTTTTTGTTGCTAAATGCTATACTAAAAAGATGAAGTCATAACTTTGCTCTTGGCCTCTAAGATAATTGAAAACTTCTAATTATTGCATTAGATTTATATTAACTACTGTGGGAATAATACAAAAGTTATATTCAACCAAGCAAGCCAACATTTTGGTTGATGCTAATATTTCATTGAGTCCAATGCACTGTCCTGTTAGGTGCCAAAGCTGTACAGCAATCCAGAGAAACAGATAGTGAGAAAGTTCTTGGTTTGAGCAGCAAAACATTGTATGTTACCATAATTGGAGTCCTGGCCTTTCTTAAAAAGAATAGGTGGAAATATGAAAATTCAATTCAATCTGACACTTTTCCATACTATCTTTAAATTGGCATAGAAATATATCAGAATGGACCTCACCTAAGGACCTGTAAATCAATAACTATTTTTCTGTCTCACCCAAACCTGAGGTCAGACTAGTGTGGTAGAAAGGACAAGTGAGGTGTTGTTAAACAGATCCCTCTCACTTTTACTCTCATGTGGCTTGTGTTCTGTGCTGTGGAGAGCAAACTCAAACTTAGTTATCTTTGTTAACCTTGTACTGCTCATCCACCATTGTTGTGGTTTGTCCTTTTTTCTCGAAGACCATGACATCCAGAAGGTAATGCCATGACATGCAAGTGAATTGGATTTAAGTGACCGAGGGCTATGCAAAGTCACTAGCCTCACTTTCTCTTCCAGAGCCATGTGGTCTTCCAGGTCCAGTGGTGAGATATGGATCAATCAGAAGGACTGGAGATGGCCAGGGGATACAGTTGGGAGACCTTGGCCTTTTTAAGCTAAGGTCTTTAACAGGTCTTAGTTTGACTGAGGCAACACCCATTCAAAGAATGGCCTCTATTAGCTACTCAAAAATATCAGTCTGGGAGGGGAAGACCCTCAGAGTTTCTGGCCTAAACCTAAACAATTGCTATTTACATTCACTCTGACCAATCTGGGCCCAAACAATGATCAAGTGGGTTTGGTCTGAGACCTATTGTTAGGCAATCAATGAGACCCAAAGTGAATTGGGTTTAAAGCATGGTGCTTAAGAAAGAAATCTAGCCAGTAAACTCCAAGATATCTAGAGGTTTCAGAGATTAAAATTTATATTTCTTTGGGCAGAGCACCTGTAGGTAAGGGTATGATATACTATGTGAACATATGGAAAGAATGGAAGGAAGGAAGGAAGGAAGGAAGGAAGGAAGGAAGGAAGGAAGGAAAAGAAGGAAGGAAGGAAAGAAAGAAAAAGCTATGTTGCCCACAGCTGTGGCCAGTTCCAGTTGGGTCCTGTGAAAAATGATTTCTCTTGGTAATCTGTGTCTTGGAGACTCAGAGTTCCACCCTGCCAGCATTCTGTCCAAAGTTGTTCAGAAGGACATCTCTGATAATGATATTGCATTAAATTTCCTTATCTTGGTCAAACTCCAAAGGAGGCCTGAATTGATTTTATCCTATTCAGGTTTGGGTGGAGACAGACTCTAAGACTGGGGGTGGTCCTTTGATGGCAAGCTATATTGGCCCCTGTGGGCTAAATGATCTAAAGCACATGCTCAAGACCTTATTTTAATATGACCCACCTCCTGGTATGTCGACCAATCACAGTTTATTGGTACCCTTTGGGAACACCTACTCTTTGAAGAGCATATAAGGCTGTATCCCAAAATCCCAACACAAGCCAGTTCTAAACTGGCCCTCTTAGGGGGGGCCCAGTTTTGGACTGAACTCCCACACAATGCCTGTCAAGCTAGCTTGAGAGAAATTAAACTGTGGACACATATACCCTAATTTCATTTGTCTCTTTCTTAGAATAAATTAATTGGGGTTCACAGTCCCCAGTGGGGCAGCTTCTACTACTACTCAAAAAGGTTGTTTGTCCTTCATTCTCAATGAGGGCCATGACTACAGGGAGGTGAAGCCATGACATGCAGGTGAATTGGATTTAAGTGAGAGAGGGCTGTGCAAAGTCACTAGCCTCACTTTCTTCTTCAGAGCCATCTGGGTCCAGTGGCAAGATAAAAATCAGAAGCACTAGAAATGGCCCTCACTATTATTGTAGATAATTTTGAAAAGGCTATATACTTACCCAACCATGTAGTTATAGGCGTTTACTTTATTCTTATCATTGTTAAGATACTCCCATTTACCAAAGTAGAATTAGACTTTTCAGAGAAATTTGTAGAAAAATGAAAAAGCATAGATCACACGAATCATCCTGACTTTCAGTGGAGTTATTCTGAAAATGTTTTCAATTAAATAAATCAACTTTTCTCTCAACATTTTCATTAAATTACTAAAATTAATCACCTTATCTATTTAAGTAATAGCATTATTTCTAACTGACTTCCTTCAGATAAATAAAAGGGAAGGATTCCCCAAGTATTTATCATAATCATATTTTTCTCCTCATTCCTCCCAGTAGAAATTATTTTGTATATGTTTTCTTTTTTCATTTTTATGTGTATGTTCTCTATCCCTCTCCCCAACTGAATAAAACTTCTCAAGGGGAGAGATTGTTTTGTTTCTTTCTTTGTATCCCTAGTGTCTAGCAGAATTCTTTGGTAAGACAAATACTTATTGTCTTATTGGTCCTCAGGTGAGATCCATTCTGATACTTTTCTGTGATAATTTAAAGTTGGTAGGGAGAAGTTATAGATTGAATTTTCATATTTCTACTGATTCCTCTGAAGAAAATCCAGGATTCCAAGTGTGGCCACACAGTGTTTTGCTGTTCAAACTCAGAACTTTCTTGCTCTCTGTTTCAGTGGTTTGGTGTGTATGTGCTTGTTGAAATAAATTAACAAACAGAAATCCTGAGGGTTTTTTTTATTTCTTTTTAGAAAACATGATTTAAATGAAATTCTGCCATTTGGAATTATAAATATCTTAAATTACACCAAGTAGGTAATTAAGTTTTATCACAAGAAATATGTCACATAAAGCAATACTCAAAAACTGATGGATGCTATTAGTTGATATTTTAAATATATTTCTATTCATCAGGAAGATCAGCATGATTTAAAAGAAAACTGATTAGATTGAGATCATGAAGAATAGGGTTGTAGTGACTAACAAAGCCAGCTGTATGACCTTAAGCTAGTAACTGCTTTTCTTAAATGGTTGGACAAAATAATCTCTAAGTTACCTTCAAGTCCTTTGAGTATTTAAAATAGACATTTTGAGCAAGGAACGAATTTAGAACTGAAAATGAAATAAAAAAATAAATCTAAATAAAATGTACACTTGTATGTGTAACTCCTAATATACCATTTCATTGTAATCATCATCATATTTCTCAAGAAATTATTACAATGATACATATTTTTAAATAATGCATTGCAGCTTTAATAAGTTGGACTCTATGTGGAATGTTTTTTAATATAGGAAGACAAATTTAACTTTTCTAGTAGCTATAAATGAAAGGCCTATTATGAAAAGAAATATATAAACTAGTATTTTAAGTAAAAGTGAAAGCAAAATTCCAAGGGAGGTGTGTAAAATAAATTAGAACAAATTTCTTTATCATTGTCAACAAATTTAGAAGGTTCTATGTGCATTTATATTTGTATTTATATGGGCATGTATCCCTATATATATGGATATATTCCCATATAAATACACACACGTGCATATGCACACATATACATATCTCTATATATGATATATACAAGCATGCTATCTAGATTGTATGTATGCTTATCAAATTTGCAAAAGACACTAACCTGTGTAGTTTAGCTAGCAAACTTGACAGGATCCAGAAAAAGATATGCTAAAACATTGGGCTGAATCTAATAAGATGTAATTCAATAAGAATTAATATAAAGTCACACAGATGGGTTAAAAAATAACTTCTCAAGTACAAGACATGAAGAGATCAGTAAAGCACCTAGGAATTTTAGTGGAGTACAATCTCAGTGTGAATCAGTGGCATAATAGAGCAGTTGAAGAATCTAATGTGATCTTGGGCTGCTTTCAGAGAGACCTATCTCCCAGATATTAGGCAACAGTCCTTCTGTATTTGTTCCTGTCACATCTCATTGGGAGTATTATGTTCAGATCTAACAACTACTATTTAAGTTTGATAACAATAAAGCAGGAAAGTGCAAATGAGACGTTTGCATCTGAGTCCAGAAAAGTGTAAATGAGACATTCGAAGGGACTAGAATACATGCCATTTGAATATTGGTTGAAAGATTTAGAAGTTTTTAACCTGCAGAATCATAGGATACATAATAACTATAAGTTTTTGAAAGATTGTTGGGGCAACTAGGTGGCACAATGGATAGAGCACTGGCTCTGGATTCAGGAGGACCTGAGTTCAAATCTGGCCTCAGACACATAACACTCACTAGCTGTGTGACCCTGGGCAAGTCACTTAACCCCATTGCCTAGCCAAAAAAGAAAAAAAAAATGATTGTCATGAGGAATAAGGATTAGGGCTCTCCTGTTTGGCTCCAGAGAGAAGATTCAAGAGCGATGGATTGAAGTTACAAAAAAGACAATTTAGGCTCAATGGCATAAAAACAAAACCAAACAAACAAATGGGAAAAAAAACCTTCCTGAAAATTAGAAATGCCAAAATATGGAACAGACTGCCTCCAGAGGTGGTTGGTTCTCCCAGGTTGGATATCTACAAGAAAATATTGGTATGTTGTAATGTAGTCTTCCTCCTCCTCTTTCTCCTCTTCAGTCTTCTATTCTTAGTCTTCCTCTGGCAGATATTTGGCATGATGGATAGAGCACTGGACCTGGAGTCAGAAAAGTCTGTGATCAAATCTTTTCTCAGACATATACTAGTTGTGTGGACCTGGACGGGTCACTTAGACTCTGTCCATTTCTTCATTTGTAAAATGGGAGTAATTACACTGTCCTTGTAACCTTGTTATAATATTGGCAGAACCATATAAATGTTAGTTATTGACATGCTTATAAAAGCATTTGTGCAAGTTCTTTAAGTTTGTGAAATGTTTAACGGGTATTATCTTATTATGATGTATAGGTTTCTGAGAATCTTTGCAATTCTCAAAAAGGCGATTATCTACATATCCATTTACAATGTATATACATGTATCTACAAATTCATTTATAACATTCTAATTTTTAATTATTGTACACCTTTCCCCACAAATGTCTTTTACTGCATAGCACTTACTATGCATAAATCTGCGTGCATTTGAAACTAATAATCCTATTTCTTCTTTTTACTATCCCAGAATTTGAACATTTTACTAATTCTTACTGGATTTTTTCCAAGTGATTTTCAAGAAGTGTAGTTTCAATGTAATTATTGTATTGCAGTAATATGAGTGGATATACTTATTTCTAATGTCAATCTTAGATCACTGCATATACTTCTATACTTCTAGAATGAGGAGCCTGTGTTTACCAAAGATGGCAGCAAGTTCTTTATGACAGTCCCTGTTAAGCAGGGAGGTCGAGGAGAATTCCATCACATTGCCATGTTCATTGTTCAGGTAAGACATAACTTCCTCCTGTAGTTTGGCAATATTCTCACCAATCTCTTTTATTGTATGACTATTCAGACCATCGAGGAGTTAAAGAATGGCCATTAGTTCAATGGAACAAAAATTTATTATATACCCTCTTTTAGTACAATTATAAAGAAATAAACTCAGACTCCTCAGTTTGGAAATGAAATTTTCCTAAAATTTACACTACCTTTACCATTCATTCTATGTTCCCCAAAACATATCTTTCATTCCATCTGGGCTACCCGGCTCACCATCCTCTGAACACAGCATATTCATTACCATCTCCAAATCTTTGACAATGCTATTCTTTCTGTCTAAATTATTTTCCTTCAAATCTTTCCTTATCCACATTCTACTTAACTCTCAAGATCAAATTCAAATCCAGCTTTTTCAATGTGATCTTTCCTGATTATTTCATCACCTGTTGATCTTTCTCTTCTCACTATGTATTATCTGCTCATACTTTGGGACACATATTATAGCACTGCAGCTTAACTTCATTTTTACTCAAAGGTGTTCATGTAAATGTCTAGCAACCAGCTCTCTCTCTATGGAAAAAAAAAAGATACAGAGAATAACATATTTTAAGTTTAATCTGCATTATTAACAATTTCCTAAGTCTAGATAATCATCAATGCAATAAATCAAACCATCATTGGAAGCATTTGCTGATTTCTGAGGTTTGAATGTTCACAGTAATATTTTAACAATAGCTCACACATTCCTGCTTATTTAACATACATATGTGCATTTTGATATCACAATGATTTTTGCCCTGGATGGCTGGGAAAATGTCTTATATTTCATGTGTCCCCTCATCTTCAAAATATTGCACAGTATAGAACACATAATAGGTACTCTATTCATACATCATGTGTGAAAGGATCAAAGACATCTCTTTGATGAGCATAAAGTCTATAAATAGAAAAAAAAGAAACTATTTTGCTTCTATAACAAGGGAACAAAATATACAAAGATACCTTTTGGTATACAATGATATTGGTTGGTTGTAATGAAAAAAGTCTCAGTATGACCTCAGGGAAAGGAAGATGAAGAACCATAGCACAAGTAAATATAGTGAAATGAAGTAGCTTTGCAAAAGATTGAAAGATATGCCCATGAGTTTAAAGAAATTGGCAGATTTTTCTTTCCTTTGGTCTTAAAGGCATTTTCCCTTCTCATCTCTAGTGAAGTAAAAAATTCTTTGTAGTAAATATACCTCAGCTTTTTAATTTGTGTATGCCTATTGGAGAATCATCATGGCTTAGTGGGTGGTCTAGTCTCAAAACTAGTAATAGCTGATTTCAAATCCTCTTCTAACACATATTGACTACGCATCTTAAAAAAGGCACTTTTCTTCTGAGTGTTTGGATCTAGCCAATTCTCTAAGACTATAAATTATAGAACAGGTACTAATCTACTTTCATTGAAGGAGATTCCTCACAACTTCACTTTGCCTATGAAATCACAGGTCCATTCCCTATCTCTATGTAGGTCATATGTTGACCTGGCAAAGAGAAATGAAATAATACCAATGATTTATTTTGCCTTTCATGGCAGATCCTTGAATTCTTTTATTTTCTCTCTCTCTCTCTCTCTCTCTCTCTCTCTCTCTCTCTCTCTCTCTCCCTTTCTCTCTCTCTCTCTCTTTCTCTCTCTCTCTCTCTCTCTCTCTCTCTCTCTCTCTTTTGGTGAGGCAATTGGGGTAAAGTGACCTCCCCAGAGTCACACAGCTAGTAAGTGTTATGTGTCTGAGGCTGGCTTTGGATTCAAGTCCTCCTGACTCCAGGGTTGGTGCTTTATCCACTGCACCACCTAGCTGCCCCTCTGTTATATTTCTTAATCATATCTCTTGTATTCAGAGAACTATATGAAGTCTAAAGTAATCCAGAAAGTCCAGGTTATAGGCTATTCACAGATATCCTCAAAATAAATGAATGTATATGAGAACACTGTATACTACCTAAATATCCAGGACATTTCCTAAAGGAAGAATATAAATCCTACAAATAGGTAAGAATGATGGTATCTAACAATATATGCAATTTTAATATTTGGGGATTGAGAATCCTATGTTATTTTATAAAAAATCCTTTCCATGTAAAGGACGGAAAACCCTTAGGTTACCCAATACCTTATTTCAACCAACTATATCAATATTATATTTAAAGTACACAGGTCAATTACTATCTTGGAAAGAGTTAATATCACATGGCATAGTTCATTATTTCTGAAAGGGTCATAAGAGTAGCTTCATCATAAATTCTATAGTCCTTTATTCTTGTTCTGCCTTGTCATTATCACAGGACTTCATTTCAGGGGGTCTTTCAGTCTATCCAGGCTAAATATACTGCAAAGTGAGAAGATGGCAGTGATGTATTTGTGAGCTTAGTGGGGTATGTGTTCCTCCCCTTTGTTAATGGGAAAAAGAAGAGAAAGCAGATAATCATAATCCACAGTTAGCTAAACATTTTATTAGAGTTAACAGTTAAGTCTTTCTTCCCTAAAACTGCTACCATGATGAAGTTGATTACTTTGGATATCTTCCCCCTTCTCTTTTTCCTTTATACCCTTTAGAAAAGATGAAAATTAAAAAGCCCTAAACATAGACACTTCAAAGAAGGAACATTAGGTATTTCTCAAAGAGTATAAAGAGCTTTTGACCAATTGAGAATTAACTCTATAGAAGAGAAAATGGTCATATCCTCACTATATCTGGATGCAAAGGAAAAATTGTGATTATATTCTGTACATAGTCAGAGGAAAATATTTAGGTATTGAGAGATATTGACCTACAAGGTGTTATTATGAGGAACTCCCATTGACTGCTATATCTGTGGGCTGGGTATCTGCTACATGGAAAAGTTTTGTGAATTCCTCATATGTCTATTAACTTAATAAAAGGAAAAGAGAGAAACTTCATTCTGTAACCATTGACCAATGCTTATCAGGAAATGGCACTCAGGATGATATAAGACTTGCCATAAAGGAGAGAAAATGTGTCTGTGTGCTATGCTTGGCACGCAGCATTAATTTCATTGTCGGCAATTTCTAAAGCAAACACAGACCTAAAAAGTATATTAACCACTGCACATTAAGCATTTGATCACTTCAGATATTTTCAATAAGCCTGCTTTTCTAGTGTGTGTCACTGACTCCCAAGAATTCAATGCTTTTCAGAAATCTGACCAGTTGGCATCCATATAGGTCTCAATTCCACAAGGAAACCTTTAAAAATTGGGCACTTCATGACTTTTTTTTCCCCTTACATTTTCAAAGAACATAGACTAAATCAAATTAAGTAGCTCAGACTTGTGACAGAATGTAGTGAGGAGCTCCCAAAATTCCATTAAATAAAAAAAATTACATGTTGGTAATTAATTCACTTATTTCATCAATAGAAAGTTCTTTATTCAAAATTAAATTCAACTGATTTGAAGTGATAATTTCTTTTTGCATACTTTCAGATGCCATTATGCATTATCAATCTTATGGAAAATATGATATCAATACTTCTCATTCTCAATTTGATCACTTTTTCAACTCAATAAGGGAAAAATGATGAAAGTGTGTTAATGTATCTTAATATATTACCTGAGAATATAGATCATCTAATATGAAAAAGCACTAAAATAGGGTGCCTACTATTTCTTAGTAATTTTAGTCTTTTATCATAAAATTTAAATATTACAATAATTTTAAGTCAATAAACAATTAAAAAAAATAAGTACATAATATAGAGAAATTCTGGATGAGGTACCAAGAAGAAATACAAGTGCTCAAAGGCTCACCAGTTAGGTAGTTTATTACTCACAGTCATGAAAGTATTGAGGTCCCCAGCCCTTCAGTACCACAGACAAACACCCTTATATCTAATGGTTGTTGCTGGGTCTATAGGGTTCAAAAAGGAAGGGGACCTTAGGTACAGTCAATCAACAGGATGGTTCAGTCCCTACCCTTATCAGTTACAAGGGTATTAGGATTAAGAATTTTTTTTTAACCTTAAATATCTAGATTAAATGAAGTTTGCTAAACTGATTATGATCTAGAGAGCCTTGCACCCCTTACTTGAATGAAGCTAAATAAACTAGTTATTGAGTACATAGCAATTTCCCAGTGCAATAGGTCACTAAGTGGTCAAATATGGAGTTATTTCTGTCAGCTAGGTCATAGCAGAAAGCATTATATGATCTATAGCTGTAAAGCACCTCATAAGGAATTTCATCTTTCCTCCTCATGTCATAAATGAGGATACTGAATCCCTAATAGATTAAGCTATTTGCCTAAGGTAACAAAACTAGTAAGCATCAATGGTGGGATTTAAAGACAAATCCTATGATGAGAGAGTCAATACTTTCTAACAGTAGCCATCCCACACTATTCCCCTTGGTGAAAAAAATTAATCAGATTTTGAAAAAAATACTAAGGGTACAGAGCTGATAAGTAATAAAATGTGTAACATTAAAGGGAAAGCAATAGTTGACACCTAAACACCTAACAAAGGATACAGAACATGTGACTCAGATCCTGAAACAATTTTTGAAATAATGTGAAAAATGTTTTATAACACTTACATGTTGTGTACAGTATGTTAGAAAATGGTATTTGATTCCCATTGAAACATGGTCATATGTTCATGTAATTTAAAGCTGGAAGGGAATGCATCCAGGTTCACCTGACTCATTTCACAGATGAAGAATCAAAGTTCAAAAGATTGAATAAATTTCAAATGGCATTGTAGGATGCAAGAAGTAGATCCAGGGTTTTAATTAAGGTCCTCAAAATCTTTCCATTATTCTCTATGTTTTAATATTTCCCACTATCAAAATTTAACAGCAGTTTCATAAATCTTTAAAAAAGATGCATTGACATGTTCTAATCTTTAAAGATTTCTATTTTTAAATGCTTGCAAAGCAGAATGTTAATAGCATCATAATGGATTTGTTTCCTTATTCAATAATAAGAGAGTTCATTGTAATATTGTATAAAATACTGTATGTGTCCTAGAACCTTAAAATAATTTCCTTAATTTCCTTGGAAAAGGCAGAAAGAAGGGGTGATCATCTACCAAAAGATCTAGTCTCGTCCTAACAAATTTTCAGGATAATGGTATTTAAACTCATTGAGATCAGACTTCCATCTCTGCCATAACTCATAGGCCAGCTGGTAAAAGTGCAATATTTGTTGAATGATTTTATTCCCAGTGAATTAAATCCAGAAGTATTATTCAGGGTTAAGAATTCTGATATTGGAGGCTGATAACCTGTATTCAAATGTCACCTCTGAAGTCCATCTGACCTTGGACAAGTCACTTAAACTACCTAGACCCCACTTTCCTCAAATGTGAAATAAAGAAGTTGGACTAGATGACCTTGAAAATCACTTCCATCTCTTGATCTATGATCCCGTGATTCTATGAATTGATATAGAAAAGAGAAATGGCAGGAGTATACTGGATCATAGAAGCATGAAGAATAAGTGACTACAAGTTTGCTTCATTTTCCTTTAAAAATGCTTTCTTCTTTTTTGACCCATGAAGTACTAGACTTGAAGGAAAAAAACTGTGTTACAAAGACTTGAGGCAAAAGCTAAGAGCTTGAGGAGGAATTTCACTCTAAACCCATAGATTGTGATTTTGTTTTCTTTCTCTCTCTGAATAGGTTGCATTTTTATCATGAATATGTATCCCATGGATCCAAATTAAACCAATTGTATTTCCTAAGGCCTAGAGTCAATATCAATCATTTATAGTCTCCTTGTATTCCACTATAATCAAACCAAAACCCAATTTATAGAAGAGTTGCAATGTATTTGTTCACTCACTTAGAAGCATTTAATACAATACATATAGCTTGTAAAATTCTATGCTCATTTGACACACCTAATGTGCTTGTGTATGCCTAGACTTGATTCTCTTTTCAGCTAGAAGAAGGCAACAGCTCTAAGGTGTATGACAAATACTGAAAAGAATTTAAGTTCTTTGTGGGAGGAGGCTATTTTCCTTTTATCGGTGTATACTGAATGTCTGGCCCATGCTTGGAACACAGTAGGCATTTGAGAAATTTTTGTTGAATTAAATTGAGTTGAAAAATAAAAAGAATGTTGATATGGGGAATAGATGTCAGAGAAAGTGTTTCAATCTGTTTTTTGTCATTATATATACAAAGTGAAAGAGAAAATTTTAATTTGCCCATATTATTCAGAAGTTGCTGTGTCTTCAAATAGTGAGGCCTATGAGGATTGACTTATTATGTATTTGAAGGTTTTGTTTGTGGGTATGGGGATATTATTTATTTTCTTTTTCTCCCTTGAATTTGTTACTTTATTGAAAATTTTGCTGCTAGAAGTACCTGTGCAGGTATGTGTGGATTTCCGAGAAGACTACAAATTTCATTAAAAGAAGGACTTTTGTTGTATCTAAACTTAGAATTTTACCATTCTCCTATCACAATGCTCTAAATACAGTAAGCATGTAATAAGTGTTGGCTTAATTAAACAGATAATTGTCTAACTTTTCCTTGATTTTCCATGAGAAAACACTCTAGTAATTGGCCTGAAATTCTGCCCCAGCATGTCCCTTGCCCATAGAGTTGATGCTACTTAACTTCACTTTGAGCTTAATTCCAAAGTTCAAGGATCAAGTCAGTGAAAAAAAAAATAAGAATTTATGGATATGGAACTTGTGTGGTTCAGCCTTTCCTGCCTGCTAATCTGAATTTGTGGGCTTTCAAATCACTAGGTATTTGCCTTTTCCCTTGTGACCAAGATCCTCATATTGTGTTCTAGTCTTAGTATTTGGAGCTCTGTCAAGTTCACTTGTAATCTAAGTCTCTGCCTTTGTATGCTACACATTACCCTACTCTCTCTGGAAACTAGACCTTGCAGATTTTCAGTAGTACTGGTACTCTGCCTTTGAATGGTAATCCCTGTGGGTGGATCATTTTTATTGCCAGACCTCCCTGGTATAGCGACCTGGACCTTACCCTACTTCTGCAGCCACATTATCTCTATCTTCTTTCACCATTCCCCTCAGGAAAAAAAAATCCATGTTGCTAAGGCTTCTCAATTTCATATTTGCATCATCTCTCCAACATGCCCCTTTTTCTCCTCTAACACTGCCATCATTCTGGTGCAGGCTGTCATCATCTCACACATGGATTATTGCAAAAAGCCTGCTGTTGAGGCTGCCTGCCTCAAGTTTCTTCCCACTCCAATCCACCACCCCCCATTCAGACACCAAAGTGATTTTCCTAAATCACAGGTTTTACCATATCACCCCCCCCACACACACATACACCCCACCATACTCAATAAATATTGGTGGCACCCTATTGTCTCTAGGATAAAATACAAAATTCTCTGTTTGGCATTCAGAGCCCTTCATAACCTAACTCATTCCTACCTTTTCAGTTTTCTTAAAGCTTCTTTACCCATTATACTCTTTGATCCCGGGAAGTTGACCTTGCTATTCCACAAAGAAGGCATTCCATCTTTCAGCTCTGAGGCTAAATCCCCAGGCATTTTCTCCAGCCATTCTACATACCTGGAATGTTCTCCCTCCTCATTTCCATCTATCACTTTCTCTGGCTTCCTTTAAGTCCCAAGTAATATTCAATCTTCTGTTGGAAGCCTTTCTTAACTCCTCTTAATTCTATTCCCTCCTTTCTCTTAATTATTTACTACTTATTCTGTATAGAGCTTGTTTGCACATATCTTGCTTTTTTTCCCATTTGTTTTGCTTGTTTTCCCCATTTGATTATAAGCTCCTTGAGGGCAGGGACAGTCTTTTGCCTCTTGTTGTGGTCCAGGTACTTAGTATAGTGCCTGGAAAATTTAAGAAACGCTTACTGACCAACTTTATTCTGTGTTCCACACCCCTGCCAAAGTCTTCTTGGAACCCTTCATTTGTACTTCACTACCTACCAGTGATGATGTCTGCCTGCTTATCTGCCTTAAGAATCTTCTTGTTTGCTTCTGAGTTATGTTTTTCAAATGCTTACCTCAGAAGTTCAGGATTCTTCTTATCAGTCATTGTTAGCACTTTCCAGGATTGTGTCCCAAACTCTGTCAGGGTTCCAGATGATTCTGGTATAATCTTTCTCAGTACTCACTAGGTGTTTGTGCTGGAGACATCCCCAGTTTAAAGTATTTCAGATCTAGGCACTAAAGTTATTTTAATTTATTTTTATACTTGCTATATTTCTTGAGATAAGCATATGTACATACATAGACATGTAGGTAAATTCAAAATAACACTTTAACACAAACATGATACTGCCTTAAAAGAAAGATTTCTTTCAAGTAAGTGAGGTAGAATATGGTAAGCACAGAATCATTCTCATTTATTTCAAAATTAGGAATTTCAAAGTTTGACTAATTCAAAATTCAATACATATATCCATACATGTACACACACAGACACAGACACACACACACACACACATATATATAATATATACATATATGTGCATATATGAATGAATTAAGGGGCAAGGATATGCAGTCTGGGTATCTATGTTCTAATTGCTGACTGGTTCCACAAACATTCTAGGTATTAATTTTGATTAAACTGACTAGTCACAATCCATCTAGAGCAGAGTGGCCTACATCCCATTTCCTGTCAAACATTATTGTATTTAAATAGACTGTAACTGACTACTTTGCCTATAGCCTGTAGATGATAAGTGTACACTTTCTCAGATCAATTATATATTTAAATGGAAGATAAGAAAATAAGATTTTTGAGTATGTTTATGTGTATATGTGTATGTTTATATGAATATAGTTTTGTACTTAAATGTGATTGACTAAATGTTACATTGAAATGATTCTTTATGTAAAAAGAAAAGCAAGCTGTATATAATGGAGGTTTGTAGTTTCACATTCAATTCTTTTTTTATTTTACTCCATATGAAAGTATTTATTTTATTGCATGTAAGTTCAGAATTTTTTAAATAAAAAGCTAAATGGTAAGCAAATACTGACTTATCTGAGCCTCAGTTTCCTCATGTGAAAAGTGAAGGCATTGAACAGAATGGTCTCTATGCTCCTAGCTCTAACATTCTATGAATCGGTGATTAAAGAACTAAAAGTGACATATGCAGGCAATTCTTTAAAACAGTACCATATTCCAAATATAAGCTGTTCTAAATTTGAAATATACATCACATCCAAATTGAAGCTGTTTAAATAAAATGAAAATCAATATTTTCCATTTCTTTGTAGCCTAAAAGTGAGCAAATCAACGTGCGGCATCTGACATCAGGAAACTGGGAAGTCATAAAAATCTTGGCATATGATGAAAGTACTCAAAAGATGTGAGCATTGTTTTTGTTCTTTAACCAAGTTAGAAATCAAGTTTGTCAAATGGAGTGTGTTCACTTGTAATCACCATTTTACTTACTGAACTTCAGTAAACACAGTGTGGCTACAGCCCTGAAGCTGTTCTTTTTTTCTACCTTACTCTCCCCAAATAAAAATGAGAGGTTTTGGAAAGGTGTCCATAATTGTGCATTTCATTGTTTTAAGTAAATTATTCTTATTATTATATGTAATATATTAGTATTAATAGTAGAATTATTATAATCAAATGTCTTTGTTTCCTTGAAAATAGCAAAATTCTATTTGCACATATTGGAAATCAAGTGAAAATTCAGTGATAACGTTGACAAAACTAAATGCCTCTCTAACTTGGTATTTCTTCACATCTTTGGACAGTTATTTCTTGAGCACAGAGACTTCTCCAAGAGGAAGGCAACTACATAGGTAAGCAATACGTAATGAAAGACTCCCATAGTATTGTAACTAAGTCATCATTTTAAAAAAATGAATATATGGATAATCCATACTTACCTTATGGAACTGGGATGGTATGGCTAATTCTTGACAATAGGGCCATATCCTACTTACAGCCAAAATCTCTCAAGTGTGCTGTCTCCCTAATAAAAATGTGGAATCCTAGAGAGCAAAAACTGTTTCACCTATTTGTTTCATAATAATTTTTCACATAGTAAACTTTTAATAAATGCTTCATTCATTCATTTATCTTTAATTTGAAATTCCCTGGCACACCCTCAGACCCAATCAACCTTTGTAACCCGGTCACTTTGCTCTCCTTCTTGGGTTATTTCAATGATCAATGCTTTTTATCTTTTTTTTCCTCTTTCCCCTACTCCATGTCCACTTGGAGACATCTCTCCTCCTTGATCACTCATTCTCTATTTTCTTTCTCGAATTCTTTCTTCTACTCATCCCTTCTGCCAGGTTTCTAGTTGCTTATATCAGCATGTATTTTCCAGCTATCTCCTATGACATTTTGTTTGTTGTTATTGTTGTTTAGTCATTTATTGGTATTATCTGACTCTTTATGACCCCATTTAGGGTTTTCTTGGCAAAGATACTAGAGTAATTTGCCACTTCCTTCTCCAGCTCATTTTACAGTTGAGGAAAGTGAGGCAAAAAGGGTTAAGTGACTTGCCCAGGGTCACACAGCTAGTAAGTATCTGAGGCCAGATTTGAACTCAGGAAGATGAGTCTTCCTAACTCCAGGCCCAGCACTTTATCCACTGCACAACCTAGCTGCCTGTTCTTTGACATCTCATTCTCCATTTCTGTCTAAAGTACTCAATTCACACCTACCAACAAATCCAGAGCAACTCTTCCTCTCTCCTCCAGCTACCCACTAGATCCAATGGTATAGAACTGAGTGAGCTATGTTTTGCCATGGCATGTGGACCTTAGAAATCAAGGTCTTCAGCTCGTTCCATATTTCATATAAAATTGAGGAAACATAAGCAGTAAGTGGCAGATCCAAGATTTGAATCCATTATTCCAAATTCAGCACCCTTTCAACAATGCCATATTGTCTCATGCTTTGCTCCTTGTGATAATGTTTTTGTTTTATGGAAGTTCATATGTGAGCTATATTCTTTAGACAGTGACCTCCCTAGACAATCATGTTGATATTTTAATATACTATCATAGAATCTTTTGTACTTCAATTACCAATAACCCCATGGTTTCAGAGGTACTTTTCACAATGTGATCATGTTGTGTGTTTTGAATGACCATACATCTTTTCCTCAATTTGTAGAACACCTTATCATTGATGTGGGAGTAGAGCACATCCTAAATGTAGAGCTGAATAAGTTAAAAGCAGATAATAACATTATATACATGGCAGTCTCCCTCCTCATTCAGGAAACTTTGCCTGAAATTAGTAAAAGAATGATCTTTTTTTGAATGTCTGTATAATTCTTTACCAATTTTTTCATGTGTGTGTGCATACATATGTGTATATATATATACACACACACATATATATACATATATATATTCTTTCTAATTTACATTTCACAGATACATTTTCAAAATGTCAAAACTGCCATGACACATTTCCAGTGCAAATTCATCACTTTTTTTAAAGCTTTGTCACCATTGATTCTGGGAGAAACATTTGACTCTAATTTGAGGGCAAAATAACATTTTTAAAAGGAAAAAAGCTTTGCCTTTTATTTCTGTAAAAATTTACTTCCCCTTGAAGCAAAATTCTTCTTTTTTCATCAACAAGCCAAGATGTGATTTTTCTTTCTCTCTTTTCTTCTTGTTCCTCCCAGAACAAAATATGTTCACTCAGTTCTAATCATTTCTAGGAGAAAAGGAGTCATCTAGAGATGTTATATCTGATTTCTTTTCAGGGGTAATAATTAAAATGATAGCTCATTTTTTTTTTCTATTTAGAGATCTGAAGCTTGATTTTCCTCAAGCACATATCATAAAAAAAATCAATGTCTATGAGCAATATCTTAGGGATATTGAACTACATGATAATTTCATTTCTTTAATTCAATAAAACCCTTAGTAAGAGGAAAAAGAGGATTTTAGAAGATTAGTTTTAGCCACAGTCAGCCAAATAGAATGGTCAGTCTCAACTCAGCTTTTCCTTATTCATCTAAAAGTGATTTGAATCCTAATTATTACTTAGACAAGAGTGTGTGTGACCTTTCATTGAAACTGTGGTAGCACATCATGGGTTTATGTGTCCTCCTCCAGTATGGTATATTGTGTGATTCAAAAAAGAATGTGGCATCAATAAATTTTCCCTGAAATAGCTCATCAAGTTCCATCTGGCTTGACTCTAAGATAACGTTAGTGTTTGACCCACAAAACTCAATCAATGTCTTGCTCTGGCCATAAAAATCATAATTTGCTTATTTTATATATCATGTTAGACACTCCTGGAGGATACAGACTGCCAGATTATGTAACCTTTGCCTCCCAAATTTTCTATTTCACATGTAGCCTTATTTTACATGAGTAATTACAATAATTGCAACATTGAAGAGTATGTGAGATTTGTAGCAATGGAAAAAGAATCAGGATGTACAAAGGACAAAACAGACATAAAAATCAGTTCCCAATTATTCATGGGTGAAATGTTATTTGGGATTTGCCCTCACCTTTACAAATGTATTAATCACATCATGGTGGACTTGGAATCAGGAAATCTCTGTTCAAATTTTATATCAGGTATTTGCTAGCTATGTGATTACAGGCTGATCACTTTATGTCTCAGAGCCTCAGTTTTCTTGTCAGTAAAATGGATGTGATCAGAACAATGATGAAGATAACAACTGACATTTTAGATAGCATTGCAAAATATTTGAAATCCTTCACATATATCTCACTTGAGCCTCATAATAGCCCTGTGAGTTAGGTAATACAAGTATAAAAGTCCTTTCAATATCTCACAAGATTGTAGTGAGGAAAAAACTTTGCAAACTTTAAAATGATTTTTTTTGTTTTTACCAATATCATCATCATCATCATCAACCTCATCATAATCATCGTCGTCATCAACATCCTCATTCTCCTCGTCACTATCATTATTACTATTATTGTCTTCATAATCTAGAAAACATCACATATTTATTAGTTAGAGCTGCAAACATATTAACAAAGTATATGTTTTTGAAGGAAATAGTGCACTCTCCTTCTATGATTAATTCTTAAGCTAAATAAGAATAATTTTGTATCCTTCACTGATTTATATTTTTCACACCACTATCTTCTTATATCAGTAACAAAAGATTGATCTTTTACTGGTATTTAAGATGTAGGTAACTTTACATATAAAAGAAGACCTTAAGCATGTCACTTAAACTCTCTGACTTTCAGCTTTTCCAGCTCTCATTTGGGAGATTAATAAATATACAAGAATGCTGTGGGGGTGGAATAGGAAAAAAGAAGTGAAAGTATTTTGCCAAAGCATCAAGGACTCTACAACCATGAAGCATTAGTATTAGTGAAATCATCTGGAATTAGCATGGTGGAAATAAAGCTTTATCTCTGGTTCTAGCATGGGAGGGGTAGCACCTCTATACTTCATCCCTAAAGAGTCCTCCCCAAGTCTTTCTTCAGTTATACAGAGGCACAGAGTGTGGCTTTTCTATGGGATTTCCTAGAGAAAGAATTCCAGACTTTTTGATTCCTGAGTCCCTTTGGCAGCCTGCTGATACCTATGAGTCCCTTCTCAGAATAATGTTTTTAAATGCATAAAATACATAGGACTAAAGAAAGAAACCAATTATATTGAAATTCCATTTTTAATATTCAAACAAGTTTGTTATATTGTGATGTATCTATTGACTGGTTTCAAATACAGTAATTTCAAAGTAGTTATCAGTATAAATGGTATTTTGAGATACTGCCAACAAATGTTAGTTGATATGAAAATATCTGTGACTTTTATTAGTGGCAAAGACACTGTTGCTAATAATATTACAATGGTTTATTAACTACATTCATACTTGAAGGAAATGTCAGACTTCTGTTAGAGGTTATTCAAAATTAAGATGTATATTTTCCCCCTCCAAGTTTATGAAGCCCAGAAAATGAAGGAATTCTTTAATCTCAGGTTAAGAGCACATGCTGTAGGGGACATGCTGCTTTCTCCTAGTATGGGATTGTGCAATGTGTGACCATACCTTTCTTTTCCCTTCCAACTCCATATTGACTTTTGTGCTACCATCACAGGCCCCTAACTGAATTGTTCTAGGTATAAATAAAATTCTTGACATCAGATCTCAATGAACATATTTTTAGAGGGAAAAATAAGTGCCTACCTTTGAAAATACTATTCCCAATGTCAGAATGTAAAATATGGATATTAAGTAATGAAACTGGTTTTTGCTTATAGCTTGTGAAATCAGTCTCATCCCTTTTAGTTGCCTTTTAATATACATAAAGCTTTTGGTTAACTGTGCATACAGAGAGGGCAAGCGTTATACTGCCATTGATAATGGAAACTGATCTTGACATTTTAAAAACTCTAAGCCACATTAAAATATCCATTAATGCTGATGAAGATTGCCACATGCTTCCTTGCACGGAATATTAACATTTCGAACCTTTCCATCCCCCTCCCCACCACCCCCAGTGCATCCACTGATGGATTATTGAATCGTCAATGTCTTTCATGCAGTTTTATGAAAGATCAGTGCACATATTTCAGTGTGAAGTTTAGTCCTACGAATCAACATTTTTTATTACACTGTAAAGGTAAGAGAAGAATGGCTTCTGATTAAAGTTGTTTCATGTATTCTATTTGGTTAATGTCTATTGATATTAGTCACTGGTTGTTACATATGTATGCATAAATTCTTAATAATACTTATAAAAGTCTAAGTAATACTTTATAACATATGGATATTCTGGGATTCAGATTACATTTTAGGGCTTTATTTAAAGATAGAGGTTATGTTGCCAGTAAAATATGGATTTTTTTAATATGTGTATATTTAGAAGATGACATAAATTTGTTTATATTAGCATTGCAGGTGTTATATTAACAGAATCATTTGCATGTTATTTTTTAGAAGGTAGGAAGACCAATGAAATATTTTATTGGACTAATAATCAAAAGAATTTAAATCTATAGGAAACTGAATCCTATTTTCCAACTTAATTCAATTTTAAGTCATTAAATTCATAAAAAATTCTTCTTAATGAGTAATAATATTTTATTACTATTTTGGGTAGTTCTACATTATTCTGGACAGACACTTGTTGCTGCTATTGTAAACAGTTAAATATTACAGGGAACTCTATGCAACACTCCTGTCGTATTCAACATATAGTTTCATTTCCCAGAGATGTTATGAGTTTCATGTTTTGGTTATATTTTTTTTGTGCTAGAACTCCAATGTGATGGATTGCTAATTATGTGCAAGTGCTGGTGCACTTTTGCTGTAACTTTTGCTGTTATTTTGAAAATATATATTCTGATGCAATTATGATACCTAGACATGGAAATATAGTTGTGAAGTTTACTTGCACCCTAAATCTGTTGGAAGATAGAACCCTTTTGGTGATTTAGGAACTGGCCACTAGCTGGAAGTGGGTCCCTAGGAAATAAAGGCCCCATCAGGGAGGGGTAAAGAAATGACCAGGAACTCTTGGACTACAGAGAAAATGTTAAATTAAATAATAACCATACTAAAATAGTATTACAAGTTAAAAAACCATCAAATTTGTTATTATCATGGGAAATTTTGAGCTCAGTACAAATTACTCCTACATAATTAAATTAGAACTTAAATGTAATTCAAAATATAAATTCAGATCCTCTGAGGATTATAATTTAAGAGGTAAACAGAACTGAGTCATCACATCTAGAAAAGGTTTCTGAGTTTTCTCAACTAATTTTGAAGAGTATGACAAAACCCTCATCATATAATAGTTTCCTTCTTCCTGTTCTCCAACTCCAGATTGAATTTTGGAATGAGGCAGATAGAATAGCCATTCTCACAGACTGGGAAAAGACAGATACAGTCCAAGTTTGGCTTCCCTTGCTGAGCTAGCAAAGAAGAGGTGACAGGGTATAGATCAATCCATCTTATAACAGAAAATATCACGTTGATCAGACAGACAGTGAAGTAGGGTGATGACGGAGCAATGAAAATCAAGTCTGAACAAGAAACTGCTAAAGTCAATTAGAAAGAGCAACAAGTGTCTGCCAGTGGGGAGTTGTTGTTCAGTCCATTATAGTGTTCTTCCCTTTCCTTTTGAGAACCAAGACACTCATCTCCTGCATGCTCAACCACTTCCTGATCACTACTTGGGGAAAAGTTAATTAGGTGGCCTAGTGCATAGAGTTCTGGCATGGGAGCCACAGAGCTGAAGTCAAATCCTGCTTAATTTACTTAGTAATTTTGTAATCCTAGGAAAATGGCAACTTCTTTGATCCTGTTTAATCATCTGTGTGAGGATCAAATCAGATAAAAGTATGTGAAAGTTTGCAAAGTGCTAATATTAGCTATTTTACAAAGGAAGGTAGGTAGGTTATCTCCCACCCATTTCCATCCATGGAAGCTAAGCTTTGGCATTTTGGAAGCTATATTGCTAAAAGTTTTGTCTTTTTTTTCCCCATGCTATTTAGCTATGGCTATTCACCAAATAGTGTTTCACAGTCCCTATATAAAGAGCTAGAAGGGGAAGCAAAGTGCATATCCCATAAAGACATGATGATACAATTTCTTCTCCTTCCCATAAGTTGACATAAAGTAGAGTAAGACCTCTTTTGATCTGTTTCCCATGAAAGCTGCTTTGATGTTGAGTAACAAATCTTGAACAGATTTTTATTGATGTCTTTTGTTTATACATCTGCCTTTTAGATTTTTCTCCTGTATGCCTCTCCCTTTACCCTCTAGAGAATTTTTTTAAAAATAGAATTTAAAAAAAGAATAGAAAAAATTCAGCAATTCTAATCAATATGCTGATATTTATACAATGGTCTATATATCTGGACCCTCTCCCCAACCACACACATGTAACACACACACACAGACCTCTGAAAAGAAGTTCGGGGAAGTGTTTCTTTATATCTCTTCTTTGGGGGCAATGAGTCTTTATGCTTTCATGACATTCGATTTTGATTACTTTGGCATTATATTTCAATTTACATTACTTTAGATGTGGTGTATATTGTTTTCCTAGCTCTGCTTATGGGAGCCAAATATTTAATAGAGATAAAAGTTAATGTATTTTAGGAAGAAAGAAAAAAAATCCCTGGGAAAGTAATCCTAGTATTTGAGATAGAAAAACTAAAACAAAAAACAAAAAGGCGAGTGGGAATTTTCCCACTTTCCACTGGTCTTGGAAAAAAACAAAACAAAACAAAACAAAACAAAAATAAAAATAAAACATGACACTGTGAAGGGAGGGTGATTAAATAGATGGGAAAGGCAAGCCATACCTCACATGGGAGTAAATTGCTAAGGAAGGTCAAACCACATGGAAAGACATGGAATGAGTTTCCCTCAACACATTCGCAGAAAGTAGTTTTCTTATGCTATGTAACAACTGACAGTTCTGTCTACCTTGCTCACCATTGGAACCTGCTGGCATATGCAGATTTATATGCATAAATATATATGTAAATATATACACATGTCTATATGTACATGTGCACATTGGTGACTATGATAAACTATGACAAAAAGTAAATGACAACAGAGAAATAATTGATAACTATCTTTTGCCTGTGGGTACTACTATGGGTTACTACTTTGCCAGAAGAATAGTTTTCTATTCATTTCTGCCTGCAGGGAAGTTAAGAAGATATTCTGCTTCCTACTGTTCCATCCTCTGGAAAAGAAGAGAAGCAAGAAAGAGAATTCGTCTCCCTTGTACAACATTGGGCGGGGAGTGAACAAGATAAAAACAGAGCCAATTAGCCAGGAAAAACAGGGAGAATTTTGACATAAAAAATCAAGAAGATCCAAGCATTGAAGCCTAGCCAAATACTCCTGTTCAAGTCAGTTCCCATGATTCCACTCACATTCCTCCTTGCTGGGATCCCAGTCTGATATTAAGATGCTACCCTGAAAACGAGGCCCTATCTTATCACTTGCCCTTTCTCTATCACCTCTAGGGTCCAGTTTGAACTGAAGCCCTGTGGCCCTTCTCAAACTGATACTCATTGGAATCCATCCTTGTAGTGGTTAGAATGGAATTAACAAGGAGAGGATTATTATATACTACCCTGCACCCTTCAAATAGATGCTAGGTACCTCTAATTAATTGTGTTATGAAGACTGGCTGTGCTGAGGAAGCCACCTATTTCTTCATTGAGACTTAATGACACCAACCATTATAATGTTGCCAATGTCGTTGTAACAGAACAAGCTTTGTCCTAATACTCTAGTAGAAAAGATGGCTAGCACACAAAAGTGTGCTATATAAATTATCTTTTGACTTGAAATTGAAATTGATTGAAGAGGGGCATTCATTTGTTGTTGATAGCAAAGGGAGAAATATTTTTCCTTGGTCTATTTAATCAACTTGCTAGGGGCAGTGGAGATTGATTGCAATTTGCTATAGCTTGACTACCCAGAGAGCTTGGAAAATATTTCATTCAACTGAATTTTTTGGTTAACAAAGTTATTAACCTTTAACATTTAGTTTGCTTTGAATATTGTTGCTAAAAATGATTGTAAAATGAGGGTTCCACTTTCTTCCCATGGTAATATAGGCTAGTTAACAGAACTGAAGTGTTTTCCCCTAATAATTTTCTTGGTTCTTAGGGTCAACATCCTAAAAAATATTAATTGTGTAGGGCTAGAAATTGAAATATACAAGATATAGAAAACTAAGCTAATTTTATACCAATGCTATCAAATATTATGCTTCCCCCACCCCCCACTTACTTTCCTATTTTCTTGTCATTTTGCGTCCTAGAAGAAACATACAGAGGAAATGTTCTAGTTAATTGAGTATTTTTTATATTGGTCCAATTAAATACAATTTTGACTGTAATTCACTTCAAGATAAAAGTTATCAATTTAGTGAAACAGAACTGGATTTGGAGTCAGAGGACCTGAGTTCAAATTCCCCCTTAACTGTATGACCTTGAGTAAATGACTTTATCTCTAACAGTTGCTTATTCAATAAAATTAATAGATTGAAGTATCCGACCTCTAAAGCTCTAAATCTGAGACACTATATAACTTGCTGCTTATTTTGAAATCCTTATTAATATTTCCTTAATATCTTTTTTGTGTATGTCTTAAATAGGACCAGGTGTTCCAGTGGTCAGTGTACACAACACCAACAACCCTTCAAGTAAGTATTCAAGCAAAGGAATTTAGAAATAATGGTCATGGTTAGTGATATGAAGAGGGTTTTCTTTATTCATGTTATAAACTGGACTTCTAGAGCATCTACTTTTGGGGAGAAATTAGAAAAGTCTTAGCTGAGTCTTCTTTGTCATAGGAAGAGTCAGACAGATTTTTGGGGGCCATCATAATAACTGAGTAGAATTAGGCAAATATAAATCACTGAATTAGCTAAAAATGATTTAATTGAAACATGATTGTTTTAGTAGACTCATATGTGGTATATAACATGCCCCCCACACTCCAAGGGCCAGATCTGTAATATCACATTTTGCCCAGTACCCTGAGAGAGTCCAAACAATCTTACTTCTTTTGTTTTGCTTTAAACATTCCCCAATTGAATACCCCCCCATTTTAGAAACAAAACAAAACAAACATGTGTATATATATATATATATATATATATATATATATATATATATATATATATAAAATTTGGTTTTTTTCCAAAGTAATAATTACTTCAAAGTTATAATAAGATTTTAAAAGAATTTCCCTAATCCCTTGTAATCTACCTCCTACCACAAGCACGCATACCACCTCATTTTCTGGGGAGGGGATAGAAAAAGGGATTAAGTTCATTTTAGCTCAGTTTCTACATAGCATTAGCCATACCAAGTTCAAATTACTAGATGGAGACCCTCCACACATTCAGCTTCCTGGACCACTGCTGCTCATGGCTCTCAGCTGAGCTGGCTGCAACATCTTGGGTTTCTGGGTTCCAAGATCTGCATGATTCTAGGGCCATGTTTGGTGCCTCTACTCCCTTCACCTGTAACAGAAAACGATATTAAAAAAAAGTCCACAACTCCAAACCCTGGTCACATGGCCATATTCTCCCCCACCTCATGTGGGTAGAAAAGTGACTCTGCGGGTCACTCCAACTTACTTCGAGGTACTACTTTCTGTGAATGAGAAAAACTCTCTACCCCTAGACTTGAATGCTAGGAGATATGTTGAAGTGAACTTTTAAAAATATAAGAGCCCTCCTTCAGGCATAGGTAAACAAATATGTTTTGAAAAAGTTTCTTAATCATTTATTTATTTGTATTGTATTTTCTCCGTGATTTCTAGATATAGTAAAAGCATGAAAATATAGAGTTTTTTTTTTTCTGTAGACATTTGCTCTCCTTCTGCTTTGAAAATAACAATTGGTTTTAAGTACATCCCACATGTGCTTTTTCGCTTTCAACATTTAAATATTGGTCTTGACATATTTCCAACTAATAATAAATGCATGACTAAAATGTACATTTTTTTCCTGTTTCATCGAGCATGTGATTAATTGATTTGTTTGTCACTCAGAAAAATGTGAAGATGATCTGTTGTCTATTAACTTTAAATGTTTGGTCCTAAGAAATCCACATATTTAAAACAATCAAAGGGAAAAAGGATTAGAAATATTCATCCTCAAGTGTTTAGCCTATTAAAAAGAAATGTCATCTATAAATATACACCAGGCAGCTTAAGCATTTGTGTTTAACAACAGTAGATCTATGGCATGCTGAATTCACAAAAGAAAATCAATCGAGGGCTTTGAATATGCTTCAGGGGGTTCTTGTTCTTCAAGTCACAAAGTAGCTGGATAAAATCTCATTTCTCCATTAAAAGCTACTGTTCACTATTTAAAGGGGTCAGTGTTTTTTCATCAATTGCATAGGTTTGAGGCCTCTTGCTAATCAGATAGCACTTAGGGTTATTATCTTGTCCTTTCTCTCTGTGTTCCACAGAATTTTACATATTGGAAAGTAATTCCCTGTTAAAAGAAGCCATCATGAAGAAAAAGATCACCAAGACTGAAATTAAAATGCTCCACATTGAGGACTATGGTAAATGAACCAAAGGCCTGCACTAAGCATGTGCAGCTTTCTCATCTTAGTTTTTCATGTGCATCACTCCCAGTCTTTAATATCTTACTCTTTCTTTAAAAGAACTTCGTTTACAGTTGTCCTTCCCCAAGGATTTTTCGGATCGAAACCAGTATGCTGTCTTGTTATTAATGTAAGTATTTTGTTTTATTGAATTTTAAAAATAGATCAATGGTTGGATTTAAAAATATTAATAATTGTTTTATGACTCCAAAGGAAGTGTTTTGATTAAAAACAGCAAGCAACATCCTCCATATGTAACTGTGCCAGGGCAGATTGAGAGAGGGTGAGCTCATCAAAGGAAATCATTGCCATTTATGGAAGACTATGTAAGTTTTCCTGCTTCTTGCATCCTAAATAGAATTAGTTTCTGCCACTGGAGAAAGAGATAGCAGCTAATTCTGTTTGTGAAATTCTGCTTAGCAATTAGTCAAGCCCTGTGTTCTTTTGGTTATATTTATGCAAGACAGATGAAATGGTTATTTATGTTACTGAAGTAATTGGTTATATTTCCTCCTTGCCTATCGTTGCTGTGCTCCTTTGATTCATAGCCAATAGAATACATTCCATGTGCTGAAAAGACCTGAATCTTGATTTTAACCACAGTGAGATCAGCTTAGAAAATGGGTTCAATTCTCATTCATGGTTTTCACACAGCCCTAGGCATATAGAAGATGCTCAGCAAGGTCTTGCAACTTTATATGAGGGGAAATCTCCTGCCTCCAGTTCTGGGGCTAATTTATATACCTAATCAGCATTTTTTACTTGCTACATTGAATTAAATTGTCAACATTTTCACTAAGGTTACAGTTGGGTTTAACAATTTACCAAAAAAAATAAGGAAATTAGAGAAAAATTAGCGAAAAAAAATGAATATTTATTAGAATGTTTGTATATGAAGATTTTGTATCAGAAGTGATATCATTCATTTTTCTAGTGTATTCTCTCATTCACTTCTACCCATTCTCATCACAGTGCACTCCCTGAGACATATTGACCCTATGAATCTTAAAGCCTACATACAGACCAGAGGAAGCTTATATGTAGCTTCTCAGATCTTTCCAATATACTGCCAAACATTCTTTATACTGCAGAATGTCAACATCTCAGAATTCTTCTATTACCAAAATATATGTAAAAAGAAAAAAAAATCCCTAAAATATGAGTTGTCATCCATACGTCATTTGAAGACTTTCAGTGAAGAGGAATTGACTAGCTCTTCTGTATAACACTAGTTGTTAAGTTTCTTTTTCATATAATCACACATTTTGTCTATAGCAGTATATCCTAACCCCTGCACCTGCATTTATCTTCTAGGGACAAGCAGAATAGGTCTAGCACCCTTTTATATAAATGACATCCTTTCAAATATTTGAAGGGCTATTATATGTTCTCTAAATATTATTTTTTTTTCATTTTAAATATTCCCAGGTGTTTTGCTGGGTTTTTTTTTAACTTATCCTTTATATGATATAGTCTTCCGTTCTTTTACAATTCTGGTTGTCTTCCTCCAAAATCAGTTCAGTTTCTCAGGGTATCTTTCCTAAATTGTGCTCTTTAGAATCAAACAGAGTACTCCAGATTTCTTCATATAGTACGTATTGTACAATGACAGTTGCCTCATGGGTTCTGTATACTATGCCTATCATCCTGTACTCTAAGACGTCAGTTTTTTCTGGCTGCCATCTAATCTTATTGAACACTTTAAAATGTTTTCACAGGAACTGTTTTCTAATCATGTCTTTGCCAGCTTACACTTCTAAAACTGATCTTTTGAACTGGCATGTGCATTAATCTCTTAAATTTTACCCTAGAGAGTGAAAATTAGTCAGCTAGGAGGTACAGTGGATAAAGTGAGTTTGGGAGTCAAGAAGACTCAAGCTTAAATCCTATATCAGACACTAATTGTATTAATCTGGGCAAGTCACTTAACCACTCTCAAACTTCATCCCTAAGAGGAAGATAATAATGGGGTAAGAAAATGGAATAAGCATTTGTATTATGCATACTATGTGCCAGGCACTGTGCATTGACACATTGAATAGAGTACCTTCAAATCTGGCTTCAGACACTTAATATGTTTGTGATCCTGAATAAGTCACTTAACTCCTATTTGCCTCAGTAGCCTCATCTGTAAAATGGGGATAATAAAAATAGGCTTTTGATGATTAGTAGTTCTCTTTAATAAAGGCTTCTGAAATTTTGACAGGAATCAAAGTGAAATATCCTTGGGATTTGCCAATTTTACCCTCTGCCTGATTTTGAAAATTGAGAACACATTTTACTTTCTCTACTCTTGAGTCACTTCTCTCCTTTTATAACATCCTTTTAAGATTAATAAAAGCATCTTTAGCAATCAAATTTACTTTGTTCTTAAAGTACATTGGTATGCACTTAGTCACAACTTATCTACTTGGACTAATATAAGGCACCTAGGTGTTCTCTTCTTATACCTTATCTGTGCTTTTTTGCCCCTTTCTTACATTTGGGGTCTATTGTTCTCAGTTAAAAAAAACATTCTTTTTTTAATGCAGGATGTAATTTTAATTTCAAAGAAAACTGTTAGAGGTATCAAACCCAGAAAACTGAGAAAGAGTAATTTTGCCTCTCTAATTCAACATTAAGTAAGCTTGCCCCATTTGTGAATGAAACCGAGCCTTGAAGAAAAAAGCTCTGAAAGGTAGAGTTAGGCACAGTGGGTTGAATAGTGAGTGAAGTTTGAGTGGAACATAGAGTACATGAAGGTATATATTGTAAAATAAGGCTAGAAAGTTTGGTTGGAGGCAGGTTATAGAGGACCTTACAGGGCAGGCTAAAGAATTTATATTTTGTCCTAGAAGCAATAGGGAGCCATAGAAGTTTTGTTTTGTTTGCCTTTGTTGGTTTGTTTGAGCAAGAGGTGACATGGATTGTTTGAACCCTGCATTTCTTCATTACTTCAAAGTACTGGAGTACTATTGTTTTCCAAAGCAACGATCCTGATAGAGATCTCAATCTCTCTATAATGTATAGATGGTCTTTGAAAACTTTGAAGGCTAGAAAATTCCTCATCCTATGACTTACCAGGTAATGAACCTCCCTGAACTTACTTTATGCTGGTTCTCAGACAAGATGGAGTCAATTTTGGGGCTGACAGTTGAAATTTTTCCAGTTTAGTAGTACCTTCCAGGATATCCTTCAAGAACTGTACTGCCTCTAAATGATACTGAGGAGGACATTTTGGGAGACGACTATATGAAGAAGGTTTTGCAGAAGAGAGACTCTGTGGCAGGGAACGATGATTAAGGTCTCAACTAGGAATATGAAAGTTTGAGAAGAGAATCAAGTATTGATGTGATGTTGTGAAAATACACATTGCCAGTGTATTAGATGTGGAAGGGAGTGAGGGAGAGAGATTACTCTGAAGTTTCAACTTTAGTGATTTAAGAATGATATCCTTATCAACAGAAATAATGATTTTTGGTGGAGGGATTGGTTTAGAGGAAAAACTATGAATTTAGTTTTGATATGTTGACTCATTTAGTAGGAGCCTCAGTTTCCTCATCTATAAAATGAAAATGTTATGCTACTTGATCTCCAGTGTAACTTGTGGCTCTAAAACCCATTATAATTTTTAAATTGAACTAAACTAAATGTATCTATTGTTTGTTAAAAATTTCATCATTGTCTGAGTGTATCAGAGTTCTGTGACTTGCTCTTCCTGATTGAAGTAAATTGTATGTCTGTGACTCTGGATAATGCCTATATCAAACAGCAGGCCATAATTAATTGATGCATTCATAGTAAGTGTCTTTGTTTTATTCTCCATCTCTAGCAGTAGATTTAATGTAACTTCACTCTTTTCCAATCCTCTTGTTCCTCTCACCAAAGAGCAGGGGGGTTTGGTGTAAAATGATGTGAATCACAACAGGCGCTTGTGGGGGAGACCCATTTTGGATTGGTAACGAAAAGGTGAGTTTCTTGTCAAGATTGATTTTGGTTAAGGTGGAATCACAAGGACTACAAAAAGGTTCTTTAAGGGGCCATATAGGGAAAGCTAAATCTCAAATTCTTTGGATATGCAATTTAGCTCTCTCTAACTTTGTTTCTCTATAAATGAATAAGAGATAGGGATTGAATTTGTTATTTCCTTGGCACGAGGATCTCCCACATGAGGAAACTCCCTCTACATATACAGGTCAGCATACTCTCTATAATTATAATTACCTAGAGTAGGGCTTCTTAAAGTTTTTAGACTCATAACCCCTTCAGCGTGGAAAGCACTAAGAGGTTAAATGAGTTTTTCTGGGTCATATAGCCTGTGTATATTGGAAGTGAAACTTGATTCATATCTTTTGGCTTCCAAGGCCTATTCTCTAGTCCTTGTAGGCCACAATGCTTCTCATAAAAAACAATGTGTTTTGGACTTTGCAGCAAGTGGTTTCTCTTATTTCTAGAACAAGTTTCCAAGATTTCATTGTACCACATAACATGCTTCTGCTTCATTGCCTAAACCTATTTGCATTACCTGGATTATTTATGTACACTGGTAAAGTAGAAATTAGATAATTCCCCATTTGACCCTTTGTTTTATATTCATGTCTTTAATGATGATGAGAATACTTGATATGTGTATAGTTACAGTGTTATAGTCTTCTTGGCAAAATACTAGAGTGTTTTGCCATTTCCTTGTCCAGCTCATTTTACAGATGAGGAAATAGAGGCAAACAGGGTTCGGTGACTTGCCCAGGGTCACACAACTAGTAAATGTCTAAGGCTGGATTTGAACTCAGGTCTTCCTGACTCCAGATTCAATGCTCTATAAATTGTGCCACCTAGCCACTCATATTCATATATTACACACCGATTTACAGATAGTTCTTGTTTTAGGTAAGTGGACTTTCTGCAGGCCACTATGTAAAGTATTTTTATATAATGTGAATTTGCCCTACTATATGGAGAAGAGGGAGAGAGATGTGAGTGTGGGGAGGGAGAACGGAGAGCAGGAAGAGGTGAATGAGGGGCAGGGCCAGCCACCATAGAGGCCAGGCCAGAACCAAGAAGAAGAAAATGGTGGTTAGGGGCAGGGGTGGGGAGAGACATGTGGGGGTCAGATACAGACAGGAGAAGTTGGGTAACACACAAGGATGGGGA